GGGCCGGCAGCAGCCCTGCCTGCTCGCTGGGGTCACCCAGGGCGGGGAACGGCGATGGGCGCGGGTGGGTTGAAAGGTGAAAAGGGAGGAACCCGACCGCCGCCCCTTTGGTTTTTTTTGGCGTGAGGTTACGCAGCAACGAGGGGTGTGCAAAGAGCTGGAGTGGGGCTGTAGGGTGTCAGCCCCCAGCCTGGTGTCCAGGCGGAGTGGGAACAGTGGTACGAGACCGATCAGTGCAGTCATGAGCAACCCGGGATGGGGAACCTAACTCAGTACGAGCACAGGGAGCGACGGGGCAGTGTCCAGCACTGGCACCCAGCACCGTGGAAGGATAGGGGGCCCCTTGTCTCTATACAAATCAGTATAAAATCCTAACGCATACTAGTGATACAACATAAAACTGGGAGTAGGGCTGCGGCAGGGTCCTGGCAGTCACCACTGCAGCCCTGGTGAAGTGACCCTGGCAGCAGCCGCACGTCTGCATTCCTCCGCAGGCAGTCAGTGTCCTTCAAAGCCCCTGGCTAAGGCTGAGGGAGGTGTTCCAGTGGAAGCCCTCCTCCCAGGCCAATGTCTGGAGCAGCAAAGGGCCGCTGTTGTGAGCTATGTAAACATAGGAAATGCCACTGGATCAGTTCTACAGGATGGGGTCCAGGTTAATTAGGAGAGCGTGATCCCATTCCAGGCTGGCTTGATGGCTTTTGGGATGCTACCGCTGGAAGAGTGTGGCCACATTAAGGGTTTAGTGGCTGCTCTTGCCTGCAAAGAACATGGCAGATGCTTTTATATTGATAGCAACTGAAGCTGGGGCTGCTGGAACTGAAGAGGAGCAAACTTTGTCATTGTTGTGTCAGACACATGTTGTGTCAGATGCTGAGCCTGGAAGGAAGCCAGGAATGGCAGAGGGAACCCTCTGTGTGGCTGCTGGAGGTAAGGGTGATGAAAGGGGAGCGTGGAGGACACAAGCTCCCCCCTCATCTGAAGGAGTTGGAGGAAGGTGTACAGCTGAAGAAGTCCTGGCTGATCTGGCGTGGGTAGCCCTCCAGCACTTTCACCTGGACTGGGTCGAACTTCCAGTAATCTCGGCCTCTCAAGAAATAGGCAAAACCTGTGGGTGAGAGAGGAAGGGTTAGGAGAGGCAGGGTTCACGCAGCTCTGGGCTCTTTCCTAGCATTTTGTCTAGCTAACACACTGCAGCATGCGCCGTACCAAGAGAGAGCCTGGAACAGGCAGGAGATGCTGCTAGATTCACCTCACTTGAACCCAGGCTTGTGGCTTACACTGTTCTTTCACACTGTTTTAGTTTTGATGGGAGACTAAGCAGGATGGATTTTATTTTATATTCCCGGTGGTTTTAAATATGTTGTACCCATGTAGTGACTCAGCCCTGAGAGGACAGAGGACGTCTAGGACCTGAGCAAGGCCTATGACAGGGAGCTTGTGAAGACCTGCTGCAGACCATGTTACTGCGGGGAAGCTGCCCTGAGATTTAGGCTCTGGAAGCAGTGGGGAGTCTTTCCACCGCATCCTTTGGGAGAAAAGAGGCAGTCACCGCACCTGTCATCCCAAGCACCCTGGCTGTCCCCAGTGTTTCTGTGGCACTGTCATGCTGTCTTCAGCATGGGGCATATCTGGGAGGACTAGGCAATACCGAAAGCAGCCTGTTCATTCAGGACAGCTGCCTAGGCTGAGGCGTGGGCAGCGTTTCTGCTGTCTTCTCATCACTTTCTTTGCCGGGAGCAGTAACAGCTGGGTAGGAGTCTGACCATTTCTTGGTCAAACTTTCAGAAGTTTGAATTCTCTCTATCAGACACTTAACTGTTGATTGTTGCAATTATTAATGATAAAATTTCTCACTTTTATGGGAGAAGCCTCAGTTCCCTACCCATTGGAGGGAGCTGCCCCTCTCTTTCTATACTATATGGCATGTGCTATGGCTGGGAAGCGCCCACTGCTACCAAATGTCTAAATCCACCCAGTTCTTCCAGCTGGCCAGTGGCATCAGCCTGAGCGCCCACTCCAGAGCAGGCCATGTCCCTGCTGCACTGACCAAACTCATCCTGAAAAGCCGCGTCGATCTCCTGAGGGACGCCACGCCAGTCGGCCATGGTCCGGGGGTAGATGTTGTCCACCTGGCGGGTGTGAGGGTTGAAGCGCCAGTAGTTGCCTCCACTGAAAATGTAGATCTTGTTCTTCTCAGCCCCCCACACCAGAGCTGCCTGCACAGGGGATGCAGGGAGGCCCAGCTCCACAATTGGGGTGGGACCAGATACCCGTCTCTCGCCATCGTAAATCCAGTACTGAGAATCTGTCGAGGAGACAGAAAAGGGAGACAAAGGTTTAGAAGCTCTTTGGTGTCTGATAATTCGGCAGTCAACTGCGCAACTGGAGCTGGCAGAGCTCCCAGGGGAAGCTGTGCCTGAGAGGCAAAAACCCCACCAGTGTCATGGATGCTGTCACTGACTTCCCACCTCAGTCCAACCTGGAGGGTATCAGTGGTGGGATGAGGAGGACCATTTTAGCAGCTGTCTTTTCTCTGTTTGTGGAAGTTATAATAAAAGACTTGGCTGGAGGGACCAGCCTCTACCCTGCAAACTCAGCGCTTGGAGAACGTATGTGGGCATGCACAGGCATAAAGGGGGCATGCGGCTGTAAAGGAGCAAGCTACAGAAACCAGGAAGAAGTTGCCAAGCTGAAATAGAGACTGGAAGCATAATTCCAGATTAGATTGAAATAGGAATCTCTGTAATTAGCCCATGGCATGTAATGCTTTCCCCTTATCTCATTTTAACTCATGGTAGGAGCCTGCCAATTTTAGCACTGTAAGTCCTTGTGTGCAGGTCAGGTGCTAAGTAATCTGTTTATGCAGGAACGCTGCCCGCAGAGCCGCGTGGTGTGCTTTCTGGTACTCGGTCTCACGGTGCGCAGATGGGGCGTGCACACCCAGGGCAGCTGGGTACCTATGTCATTCTGCATCCCCGCTATTAAATTTACACTTGGAAAGACCATTAAAGAAAACAGTGGAGCTGAAATGGGGGTTGTTGCTGGTCTTCAACTCCAGAGGAGGTTTGGCCAGGAGGAGGTTTGGCCCCCCGTGGGTGATTGGTTTTTAATCCCCGTGGTGGCAGGAGGTTGGCTCTGCACACCGGCTCCCTGTAGGCTCATTCAGTCTGGGGGGTACTACAGAAGCTCCGCATCCAGGTCCCTCAGGAGCAGAGAAGATGCTGTCCATCTCCTGAGCAGGGCCTCGGGGGAACAGGCTCAGGAGTTTCACAACCTGTGAAAGTGTCTGGGGCTCTCTTCTGGCACAGTGTTTCACAGGACAGCGGGGGGGATGGAGCAAGTGTTTCCCTCCTCCTCCTCTGCCAGCAGCATTGCCAGGGCAGAGGCTCAAAACAAAAGTTTGTGTTCCAGAGGAGGAGAATGGGATATCTTGGCTGTGTCAAATAAAAGTGACCCCTCCTTCTCTCTTCCCCCCTCAATATCTGCTAAAAAGTTTAAACTAAACAGAGAAGGAAACAAATAACAAGGATCACTGGATTGCTGAGGATGCCCAGAAGGTTTATCCTCCCAGGAACTTGTTGGGTCCTGAATACCCCTCAGTAAAGGAGATGCATTTCCAAGCCATCTGATCCCAGTCCAGCTCTTACCTTGGAAAAACCAGATATTGCCCAGAGGGTCCTCGAAGGTGGCATCAACAGAGCTGGGGATCCCCTGCCAGTGGCGGGGGGGCG